TGACAGGTTGTTGTTAGCAGTGGCAAATGTGTGAGGTATGTCACTGTGTGTGAGACGGGGTGGGTTGGGTTGGTGGGGAAGAAGGAGGGCAAGAAGGCCGGTGTTTGTAAGGAGGACAATCACAAGGTCTGTTTACTGCTGCCAAGATAAATTAGCCCATCGTCTCATTTATAGGAAGAATCCGGTGGCACAGACTATAAGGTGCATGGCATTAAAGGGACTAATTAGACGATTCCGGCAAATCTGAATTAAGACTCTTTCTTTCTTTGAAATCTGGAAAGCATTTCTCAGGACTCTAGTCTGATGGCTTCGGTTTTGTGGGGCTTTTTCTTTCTGCTCTGAGAAGGGGTATCTTGTGCAATTCCCTAACTCGCAAGCGTTTGCTCTAAATTCTGCTCTGAGCTTCAAGAACAGTTGTTAGGAAGCTGCTGGCATTTACATCATATCTAAAAAGGTCCAAACCAAAATCCCAGATTCTGCAGGAATTCAGCTCCCAGTCCAGGGACAAACTTTGCAGCTGGCCCCTCCTGTTATAGCAGGCAAAACCAGAAGACCACATGTGAGCATAGAATCAGAGAATGTTTTGGGTTGGAAGGGACCCCTAGAGGTCATCTAGTCCAACCCCCCTGCAGGAGCAGGGACACCGCTAACTAGATCAGGCTGCTCAGAGCCCCATCCAACCTGGCCTTGAATGTTTCCAGGGATGGGGCGTCCACTACCTCTCTGGGCAACCTGTTCCAGTGTTTCACCACCCTCATTCTAAAGAATTTGTTCCTGAACATACCTGAGCTAAGGGCCTACAGCTGAATTCTCACTCACACATACAAAACAATCTAGGTTTTCCAAAAGCTGGCTTCTAATCTGACACCCACCCCCACACCCCACCCCACAGCTCTAAATACAGTCTCCATAGCCAAATGCTTTTCCCAAGCAACTCTGTGCTTTCTGGAGCCATGGTTGACTAGGCTTGTGAGTGCTGGGTAGGAATGTACCAAGGAAACTCCAGAGATGATCAAAGAGAGAAGCTGGAAAACATGAGAACTTACTTTCAGCTCCCTGTTTGGCAAATTTAGGATTCAGCTCTTGAAATCTGGCAACATTTTACTCCAATTGTGACAAAAACAAAGTGTTACAAACACCTCTGAAGCAATGGTGCATGCTGTTTGCACACAACCACTATATTACAGTGGTCACTATTAAAATGTTTTACAAGCAGTTAAGGTTACCATGGCATTCACAGTATACTAAGAGAAGGGAATACCATGAAAATCACGGAAACATTCAGCACTGCAAGCCCCAAATATCAGATGTTTCATAGTAATTAGTGACACTGAAAAGTATAGGCTTCTTGGTTTTTTACCTATACATCTATTACTAACCAACAAATAGGAGACACTAAGAAATTGCAGTGGCCTTTATAGCGTCTGATCAATTATATAGACAAACCCTATTTTGATTTTTCTCTTCTAAATGGTCTCTGGGACCCAGCTAGTCTAGTCCCAATGGGCAGCACTTGATACACTGTAAAGGGAATTCAGAACAAGAGGCATTTCAAAGCTTCTAACACAGCTCCATTCTCCCAAAATATATATATATATAAAAATACCAGTGTGCAGAATACTCCATCTAGGGGCAGCAATGTAACCCAAAATTTCCTTAGCCTCTGCTTTGACATGTGTTAACCTCATTCTACCAGGACTGAGTGCATGAGAAATAATCAGACATTTCACAAAGGTTCCAAATAGTTCTTCCTCAGTATGAGCCCATAGATTTTCACTTTTTATTATTTTAAATACAGTGCTTCCAGCTTGAGTTTCCGCTTAACAGTGATGAAGAACACAGGCACTACTTTTATATGTCTACTAGCAACTGGATTATACTTTCAACTACAAATATTATCTTAGGAACAATTTATAATCCATTGTATCCATACGCTCAAAGTTTTCAGCTGAATAAGGGTGGCCACTGAGCTCAACTGCAAAGAATAATGAAATGCCTGAAGGATGATTTAGGTAGCTATATTTTTGCACATAATTAGGCTTCTACTGAAGTCAAAGCAGGGTCTGAATTTGACTTCAGGGTGAGCAGAAATGGCTTGTGGCAGTGGCATACTTCCAAATAAGAAATTCTCTCTGTAGCTGGATAATTCAATATCATTTATACTTAATATTAGCAGATAGGATTTGTTCACCAAATGTATCTGAGAGCAATGTATACAGTCAAGAGAAGCAACAAATTCATAGGCTCAGAAAAAACCCTGAAAACATATAATAATGCCCATTAACAGTTTCTCCTCTTCTGGGGAAAAAAAATAATTACAACAAGTATATCAAGCCTTTCCCTCTAATTATATGTTTTCTTTATACAAATTGCTTTCAGCTGACAAGTCCACACTAGTTTTCCTTAGTAAGCAACGGGTTACCGCTTGTCCATAGTTTTACAGCTTTCTACTGCACTGTGTCTTGCTCTTTGTCTCTCTGGTACAGAGAGGCTGCTTCTGAGGCTGGTGTAACACTTTGGAAAGTAATCAAATTAATTCCTACATTTGCTCTCCTTAAACACCTATGTTTGATCACCTCCATTCTTCCAGTTTGGCCTCTCAGCTGCAAACTTCATAAACGCGAAGGTTAGAATTTTCTAGACACCACTTTAATTTTTCAAATAGCAATCCAATTACTGAGCAAATTGGCACATGTGCCTAGTTACATAGTGACTTGGCACTGCCTCCACTCACTGCTGGCAGTGATGAATGTGTTCCCCCTTCGCTCTCCTCATCTATCTGCTCCAGCCTCTGCGCCAACACCAGTGACCACATAAGGAGAGTGCCTGGCAGCTGCAAGCCCGAGGTGCCAAGAGGCAGATTGTATTCTGTAGCAGCAGGATCTGGGTCTGTGACTGGCTTCCTGGCTAGGCTTTTGTAAGACCTTTTCCATGGCCTCTAGGTTGGCTCTAATGAAGCCTGTAGAAATGCCTGCGGGGAGCTGGTATAGAAGTGAGTTAAGTCAAAGGTTTAATTTAGTTTCTAAAGTGAAGTGAATGTATATTGGCCTTCTTTTTCCACCCTGCAATTATGCTCCTGCCACATTTATGAGAAAATACAGTATTCAGTCAACAATAGGAGTGCATTCCTGGGTATGTCTGCACCGCACATTGGGGCAAAGATCCCCAAGCCAGCCTCAATTAACTTAGCTGCAGAACCAGAAGCAATATAGCTGTGTTTGCTCGGTGTGACACCCGAGCTAATTAACTATGTATGGCAGTAACAGAGCTTTACTGTTTCTGGCACTGAAGCTAGTATCCCTGTGTGGTAATCTACTACAGACATGCCAGCTCACTGGGAGGTAACCTGAGGGCTCCCTTATCTGATGTCGCCTTGCACTGCAAAGATACATTTAGGAATACTCCAGGAACTGGTAGGAATTTGTTGACCTCTTTATATCACGTGAGAGTGGTGAGGCTACAGATGTGGTTACAGTAAATCTGGACTGTTCTTCTTCCATCCCATTCACATTCTTTTATTACTCACAACATGATGGTTACAGAGCATCTTTAAGTAATGTGTTAAGCATCTTGAGCAACATCTGTCACATGTGCTTTTTAAATTTCTCACTTCCTCCTCCAGGGGCAAAAAGCTGGACAAAGATATTTTAAAGTATTTCTCAAACTTGCATTTTCTGTCTTTTTTTTTTTTTTTAAAGGAAATTTGGGTCTTAGCCCTTAATTGAACTTCTCTGGACTATTTAGAAAGCCATTTTCAATTATTTCAATGCTGCAGATAAAAAACTTTCTCAGAACAGGATATTTTTCCCATGTGGATTCTTTATATGAAATTACTGTTCTCAGAATAAATGAGTACAGGTACCGAAAGACCAGTGATGCACTATGCTCCCTGTAATACAAACAGGCTGTGGTGAAGGTAAAACCGAAACACAACAACCTGCCAGCTATTCCTCTTTTGGAACCCCACCTCGGGCATACCAAGAAGCTAGTGGAGAGAATCAGAGTTATTTGTCCAGCAACTTTCTGATGCAGATGGTAGTCCGGAAAATATCCGAGTGGACTCTGAACTGCACACACCAGAATATTTTGCCAAGTTTGCTTGCTTGGACTTTACTTATGAGTACAGTTGTTTGTTACCGATGGCATTTTTCCCTTTTTTTTTTTTAATACCAGGTATGTTGATAGAAGTACTTAACGACATCCCTGAGCTGTGACTATTACACCATATTTAATTAAATTCTGCTTTTTTATCACTTAAGAGCTTTAGCAGCTGAGCTGCCCTTACCGATGTTTATCTTGCTTAATATCTGTAGGTAGATAGGAAGCCTACAATCTTCTATTGACTTTCTAGATACGAAAACAGTTGTAATTCCAAGAACCACCTGAGGACTTCCTCTTCAAATCTAATCACCCCAGCTCTCAAGACTGACTTCACAAGGCAGCTAACACAATGATAGGTTTTAACACACGTAACTCTCAGACTATCCATCAGTACAAACACATGCAATGTGGATTTTAAGTGTGATATCAGAGTGTGCCTCCGCCACATTTTGCATGGGTTACTTGAGGAGTCATTTTCAACAAAAGACACTAAATGCTACATAAACTGTACCGGTAATATATTTAAAATAGTAATTTAAAACAAGGGGGGCCTTTATGGACAATCTCGTATCTAGTAAACCTACTAATCTAATCTGTAAGAAAGCATCTGTCTGTAAGAGCCTAATAAACTGCCCTGGGAACTGCAGCAGCTTACAGACAGACAATTTCAGAAAAGCAAACAACACATTTTGATTAACAGATTTTAGACTACGTACAAGATGTACCTGGGAATCTTTGGACTGATTTGAAGGCACCAGGAAAGTTTAAGTACATGCAGCATTGGTGGGCTTCATAACATTATTCAGGGGTTTGTACCTTTGTATTTCAGTGATGTTCAAATGAAAGGTAAAAACCTCAGAGCTGTAGATAACGTGCGGCCCTATTGTCATCTTCAATACCTTCTACAGGAGCAGGAAACTGAGGTGGAAACTGGACTCCTGGCTACAGGCCTGTAGAACACAAGGAAGATTTAGTTATTATCCAGAAGGACACATTAAGCATGTGCTTAACACCAGGCATGTGAATGCCCCAAATGCGTAAAAGCTCACATGCCAAAGTTAGCAACATTGCTGTAGCCAAGCTGTGCTGAGAGTTAAGCATGCACTTAAGGGCTTTGCTGGATGACAGCCATTTACAGATGTACAATCAGTACAGACACATGAGGGCAGAGACTTCCTTTAATGGATCCACTGAATTATCGTCTTGAAGATACCTACTTGGTTATTTTGATTAACATATTTATAAACCCAAATACTCCCGGTTACACCTCAGACACTAGCACGTGTATCATTTTGCCTGGAGTGCTTTGTTTACCACACTTAAATTCAGGACTAGACAAACAATTCAAAATCATACGCAAAAGACAACTGGAATCTGATAATACAGAACTCTCCCAGTTCCTGTTCTCCTCTTGCTTCATCCTTAATTTGTTTGTTTTGAAGATGCTGATAGATGCTTATCTGCATGTAACGATAACTGCTAACAGCAGCTTGATGAATAAGAGAAGAAAAAGTGAAAGAAAACCAATAGGAATGGCATTAAGGGCACTAAGTCGCTCTTTCTGGGATGGGCATCAGACATTCACTTGCTACTCCAGTCACAGTGCAATCAAAGCTGTCCTGTGCCACTGCCAAAAACTGCAACAGGTGCCAAAAGATTACAGCATTGGTTAAACCCACTCCTAAGGCACCAGCTCGGGGACTGATCCAAATCCCAGAAGCCAATGAACGTCTTTCCCCAGACGTCAACTGTTTTCAGATAGTTCCCTCTTATTTCCAGTGTGATGCTGGGGGTGGGAGCAGGGGACAAATCAGTCCGACTGCCAGGAGACAATCCTCTGATTTCACTGCTGCGAGGCTGGACAGATGCCAAAGCCACACAGAGCCTCCCAAGCGCATTTGTAAGATAATTAATATTTTATATTCGCAACAATAAGAGATCTTCATTCATGAGGAACTATTAAGACAATTTCTGGTTCCATTCTCCCCAGCACATTACAATGGCAACTCCATGCCAGCAGCAGCCACATGGCCTAAAGGTGCCAAGCTGGCAAGGATACTCTCTTTCAGCATTTGGCATCTAACCCCTTGGCAAACCCCTCAGCAGTTGTGCTTGGCTGCTTTCGGATCCGTCATGTGGTTAGGCTGCTGATAGCATAGGAGGGTGCTGCGTCCTCTGGGCACCATTTCACTTTAACACCTGTCTGATTCAGAGGAATGCGCGCACATGGAGAGCAAGATCCCCGCACAAATCCTCCCAGAGCACATGCTGCATTTGTTACTGAAAAGGGTCATTTCCTCAGACCCACAAGCCCTTTTTTTTTTTCCCTTCCCCCTCCTCTTCCCCTTCGCATATCTGTATACAGCCCTTAGAGGGTCCTACATCCTGCCATGCATTCCACATGTGTTGGAAGCTTGCTCTGTGAACCAGGAATACAAAATATAGCCTTTTTGTATATAATGAAATCTCATATTTTACTGTGCTCATATAAAGCCATTTCTTTGTGAATAAGACTTTTTTTATTTGTGACATTTTAACGATCTACAAATGTTTGGTATAGATGAAAGGAAATTATTATTTCCAGGTCACCTTGCAGTAATACTTTTTGATAGGCACAATAATTCCAATTAAATTGGAGTAAAAAGGGAGGGGGGAAATGCTTCAAACATTTAAAGTGCCACCAAAGCAGAATTATTTTGAAAGGAAAACAAAAACAAGCATACATCATTTACCACAAGCCACAAAATATCCAAGAGTATAGGTAAGAAAATTCAAAGCCTCTTTTCCACTGGGGACTACTCAAAAACCCGTGGCTCTTTCAACATGCAGGCTGTAAGAATATAACTGTGTCTCACAAACACCATGCATCCTTGTAGTGAATGCAGCAAGTTTTCATGTCACAGGATTGGGTCTGACTTGGGCCACAGACTTAGCAAAATAGTCCCAAGTCTGGTCCCCCAGAGGTACTTGTCAAAAATCACAACTGCCATCCCAAACTTGGCAGGGGGGCCCAGGAGCGCGGGGGGCAGAGGTGCCGTAGGTGTGCTAAAAAGCCTGTTGAGACTTTGCATAGCACCTCTCCAAATCTGCGCCTGTCCGAAAGCGCTACAATCCACCTCATGTTTGCACAAACAACGGCCTGCACTGATTCATCCAGTACATTCTGACACTTTTGAGCATGGTTATCTTTGGATCAGACACTCTCTAAAGCCTGTGAAATAAATGCAAGTCTTTGGTTGCTAAGCTCAGGGTCACAAAATAACTGCTATCACTCACTCTAGCACGAAGGCTCAGTGTACCCATTTCACCCCAACCGGAACATACAAATAAAAGCCAGGACTCCTGTGTTCTACTTCAAGCCATACCCTTCGCCTGTCACGTTGTTACCACAATTTTTTTTTTTTTTTTTTGCATCAAGCTTATGGCCCACAGACACCGGCCAAGGCCTCTCTGTGCCAGGCAGAGCACTAGCACAGAACACACACCCTGCTCACTGCACGTAATTTTGCACCTATCAGCATTCCTATGTTTAGCCATCCAAGTTATTTTTTATAAATAAAAAGCAAACAAAAAACCACACTACTACTAAGTATTTGAGATCCTCATATTAAAGTAACAGAAGCTTAAACATGACATTGCAATCAGAAGGTCACTGGTCTGTCCACACGTAAAATAATAATTTTAAGGTTGCTTGAACAGAAGATAGAATAAATCATTTACAAAATTCCTCTTCTCATACCCTACTCTAGCATCAGGTAAACAACTTCTTTTGTTTTGAGGGAACTGGATTTGATTTTGTTTTGTTGTGTTTTTTTTTCCTTCTTGAACGGTTCTTCACTATTCATTAGGAGAAAAAAGAAAAAAGCTTCTCTTCTACCCCCGCCCCAAAACACATTTTCTTCAGAACACTAGGGTGACATGCAGGATGGACACTGGGATCATGACAAATTCAAGATCCAGCATCTTGGAGGCTTTCCTGGCCACAAGCCAAACCTTTCTGGAATGGAAAAAGCTTTTCAATACGGCATTTTCAGTAACAAATTCAGTATTTAACCCTTGGGAGGTAAGGAAATATCTCAATTTAAAACTGTTATGCAGTTACGTATAAAAATGTTATTTTAGATCATTTTTAGGCGTTTCCGTAACTACACTATTTTCCATTTCTTTTTCTCTGTGACCTGGGCAGTGGATTTCATTGTGATTAAAGCACCTGGCTTTTGGAGTAAGGGAGATGAAAAATAAGTACCAAATAAACATATAAAACTCTCTAGCAACATTCCTGGAATAGTTTTTCTGTAAAGTACATGGCATGTTCAGAACACATGATTTTGTAGTACAAAGATTTTATTGGCCTCACTGCTCAGTGTGGTCATCTCAGATTCATGCCAAATAAACCTACCACACCGTATCGCCATTTATTTTCCATCTCTGTGTACACATATACTCTTTCTAAAAAGCAAGCTCCCAATTCCTGCACAAATTCACAAGCTGAATGCACATTATGTTATCTTCCTTTGAAAATGATAACCTAAGAACGGGGCACGGTAAGTTTACTTTTAGCAGCTAAAGTGGGAACAAGTAAGCACGGGACTTCAGAAGAGCCCACAAAAGAACAACAGCCAGGCAGGAGGATTTGCCTCCGACAGGTTTCTTGCACCTCCTTTCTGCAGCAACCTGGTGTTCGGTACCAGAAGCAGTCTCAGATTGAGCCCTGGAATGAATGCACCATACCACATGGCTTATATACAAGTTATGTGGAAGACCAAGGAAAGAAAAAAAATTAAGTGTCAAAGTCAGAAAAGCCTCCAGTTTCAATTACATATACATACGCCTTCTACATGAATAGACCTTGCCAGATGTTTCCTTATCATAATACACTTCCCTTATTAACATGACTAAATAAATACAACTTACCCAAATCAAATCCTGACCATTTCCCCATTTTAAACTTAACGAATTTGCTCAGGTTTATGCACTTTTTCAGCATGCAATCTAAAGTTGGGAGCTTCTTCGTGAGAACATGCCTGATGGGGAAATTTTTTTTTTTATTTTTTTTAAACAGTTATTGTGCCATGACACAAAGGTAGAACACTGTTTTAAAGGGCTGCTGACTCTGGACAATTTATATGCTAATTTCAGAAATGATTCCTCCTACATTAAATAAGGAGCTAAGGAATGTTCCAAAGGTCTAGACAGACCACACCATTAACAGATTGGGTAAATCAACGCTAATACTGCCCACAGCGTATTACACCGTGTGAACTTTCTTCACTGCACACACTTTACTAATTTTAGTTCCACGTGGTTCCTCAGCTGACTGGCCAAAATATAAGCTACACCAGCTCCCTAAAGCCTCCCTGTGCCCATCTTGACCTTGGACTTGCCTTTAATATTAAACTTGAGGAAAAAACTGAATGGTCACACTTTTTTATTCAGGGTACATTTATAAATGGTTTATAAAAGGGTTAACAAATGATTAATAGATTATGAAAATGTTAAAAAGTATTGGCAGCTATGAACAATAAGCTGGATAGCTGTTATGTACCTAATACTACATGATCAGCTATTTGGGAAAGTACAATGCAGACCCATACATGCTAGCCCAAACTCCATCGGTGTAAAGGCTAAGTCTGGCAAACAATTCAAATATCTTCAAACTTGTTTGAGCACTGACAAATCCCCCAGTATTAATTAGCAGCGTTCTGAGGCTACTATTGTTTTAAAGGACAAGTCAAATCTGGCTCCAAATTTAGACTCTGTACAAACAAGCTGTTATAAAGCCTTAGAATAACAGAAAGATTTCCAGTTTTTATTTTACTTCCAATAAAAATGACCTTTAAACAAATTCTTATATGGCATATGTAATCCTAACAACGCAGAACTGAAAAACTCAAAATGAAACAAGCATCACTACATCAAAATAGAAGGATCATAAAATATTAAGATCAAT